ATATTTATTTTGTTTGTAAGAAATAAAGAAATAATTTTTAACGATACAATAGCCACGATTATTATTTTAAAAAGTACACGCTAGGCTTAACATCGACGATAACTCAACGCGCAGCGACACGCAACAGAGAAAAATTTCAACACGGGATAGGTTAATATTTTTTCGTACATAATCGGTTATCCGAAAAATAAGTTATCCGAACAACCTCAGTCCCCAATTGATTCTGATAAACGACGCTCTACTGTACTACTATCAAAGTCAATGAATTACAGTAATACCTCAGTTTTCATTGCCTTCGGTTATCGTCGGTTTCGGTTTTCGTCGATTTTTTCCACGAAAAATTTGTCTCGGTTTTCGTCCGTTGCCTCGGATTTCGTCGGCGTTTCTACATGACCTCGCTGCTAATTTTGCGAATAAACAAAGTGCGACTCACTCGTTTTTCTGCTGTGTGCCGTTGTTTCTCGTTGTGTGAGCGTTACCTCGCGCGTGTAGCCAAATAATTCCATTGCATTCCTTTCTTTTAGCTCCATCATGGGATCAAAAAAAGTTTTCAGAGCCAGCAGCCATTCGAATTCCATGTTAAATGTTAATTTTATTCTTTATATTTTGTGTTTGTATTTGTCTTTTAATTTCTTCATTGTGTCTTTTATATTTATTTTATATTAATTTCTTTTTGTTTTTAGTATCAAACACTATATTTATTCTATATAAAATGTATTTCGGTAGTGTCTAAAACGAATTAATTGGATTTATATTGATTCATATGGAAATAATTGCCTCGGTTTTCGTCGGTTTCGGATTCCGCCGATACTTTTCGAACGGATTATCGACGAAAACCGAAGTATCACTGTATCTAGTCTTTGAGTGCCTATTGTTTTCACCCTTAAAAATACAGGTAATAAACAAGTTTGCCGAATACATGTGCCGCAATCGTATAGGTTCTCGGTTTGTTTATATTCTATGCAGAATTTGACATTTTAAAGAACTAATAAAAAATAAACAACATAAATTTATTAAAATTGACAAAAGGTCAAAGGCATGACTTTTTCTTACTACCCTATGCCAAACTTGAAATTTTTTATAATGAATTTATTTTGTTTTACTGTAAACTGTTTATTTCACGTGTAAAAAAAAATGTAGGCCTGTACGTTAATGTGAGTTCGTATACGTCATTGTACATCTGTCACTGTCATTACAAGTACTGAGCAGTCAGTCGATCATTGCTTTCGACATATTTAGGAAAAGTGAACCTAATACCTTAAAAACAAAACACTTCAAAATTCAAATACTGTACATAACACGTGTATTCTTTACAGTAAAACACGTGTTCTACGAGGGATCATGTGGTTTCTTCTTGGAGACAACTGCAGCTTCTCTCTCCGATAGACATCGTCGTTTTCAGGGCACTTTAATGATTAGATAGAAAAGCATCCGGAGTCGGTGCCCATCTATCGCGTGCAATCTACACTAATTGGTCATCGATTGCGTGACTAAATGATTCTTTCTTTTGTCTTCTACTGTTTTCACATTGTAGCGGATCCCAAGCCCTCCTAGCTGCCAATACAGTCATTTCCACTACTTTTCTGCTTGCATTGGGTGACCAGATAGTCTATTGACTCTGCTACTATTTCTCTAGGGGGAGACCGAATCAACTGTTCCATACAAAATCGTCTAACTGGTTTACAATTACGAAACTTGCAGATATCATAGACAAAGGTCTATTGAAGGAAAGCAAATTTTATTGGATAAAAATACTAGTACAGAAAGCTAAATAATAGTTTTTCTCGAAACGTATTTTGTTTGCTCGCAGGCGTTGTTTCCTTTTTCACCTCGCTCGAGGCAGATTGTAGCGCGGACATTAAGGTGGATTGACTAATGCAGTTTACTTGTAGAATATATAATATTAACCAATGTTTACGGGGTTCTATTTTATATGTTGGTTATTTCTTTTTCGTGAATTATTCATTAATAAATTTATATAACTTTTTCAAGATTTTTCGACATATTTTAATTTAAAAAGTTCTTAATACTTCTACCAAAAATAATACTAAACTTATGTATCAACTTTTACTACTTACACTTGAAGAAAAATGTAGTAGTAATGGGAAGAGGTGAACTGATAAAGTATGTTAAAGAGTTTGTTAGAAGTGTATGGAAGGTGTGGCAGAATTTTAAAGTTTAACGCAAGAAACTGCACTTCGATAGACTGATTAAAAACTTATCATAAGTCTGCAGAAATTTTCCTTAGGAGCAGGAGGTCCCGTTTAACTATATATGAACTTCTGGTGCAAATCGTAAGTCACATTATTTCAATTTAATTAAAATATTTCCCCTGAAAGAAGTTAGAATAACCGGCACGTCTCTACTGTTAAAAGAAATATTATTATTATTATTATGATAAAGGAAAGAAAAACAACTGTTGGCGTGCCACGTTTATCACACATGCCAAGAGCCGCTTCCTAATAAATAGAGCAATTATCCCATTCAATTTTGGGGCTTAACTTTTAAGGGGAAAGAAGATAGAAAGGGTCGTGTTGCATACATATCTCCAGAGAAGTCTGTTTGGTTACAGCAACACCTATATAGCTTTTATGGAAAGCTGGCCTCTATTAAGGTGTTACAAACGTGATGAAAACCCGGAAAAATCCACGTGGTCAGCTAGTTGGTGAGGTGAGAATCCCGACTAACTACCATTGTTGAAAATTTTCTGAAAACAGTAAAAATAATTGCTACATAAAACAATCATATGAAATATTTTGTGGTTTTTAAAAATATGTTTTTCTCTTATTTCTACAATAGTAAGACAAACTGATTGCTTGCCCAGTAATGTTACAATAAAAATTGGAAAGTTACTAAATACAGAATATTCAACCGTTTTCAAATCAAGAGCACATTTAACAAAATATAATGTATTTCTAGAAAATATTGGCATTTACCAAATGTCGCCGGTAAAGCTAAGCAACTCGTTGCTAAATATTTCTGGTTTGTTATCAACCGCTCAGAACCTATCATCCTGTGACTAATGTACATTTAGAATACTTTCAGTTAAAATTCTTATATATTCGTTACACATTATCAATCTTCGCATTAATTATTCTGGGCAAAACGTTATTTCAATTCAAAAATTTTCACCTAAACAAAGTTAGATGACTGGCATGACTATTGTTAACAGGAAAAGTATGATTAAAACTTTCAGCCTATTTCCTCCCCATTTCAAACAAACAAAAAAGGCTGACACCAACGACTGCTTTTATATCTAGAACCCTCCTCCATTGGTACACTTTCATATAGAGCTTCATGACCTTAATAAGTTCATTAACCGATGCCACGTCTTAATAATTGGTTCCTTTTATTCTGCAGTTTTATATTTATGAGACTCATTGTGACTATTGCAACTCGACAGCAAAATGAAAGATGAGACAGCAAATCTTGAAAACCTTGATAAAGTTTTTATTTCACTATTAAAAAGAAGGTTTTTTTTACAGAATTATAACGTTTGTTTAAAAAATTTAAAAGTAAAATCACTGTTCAGAAAATTTCTTGGCTATATCTTTGCAGATGAAGTCCTATTTTCCACTTCGATACGATAACCATCGAAGCCACGTCAGTCATCTTAACACAATGTAGCATTATCTTCTCCACAGGAGCTCAATTGGAGGTATCATTATTATCGATAACAGCAGTAGAGTTTCTGGTGAGCATTTTCTGAAGGAATTTTCTGAAGGAAAAAAAGAAAAAAGGATTAAGACATAATTACAACTAAAATTTCAAGTAAAAAATAAAAAATTCAGTTACCAAAGTAAAATCTGAACAACTAAGAAGGTACAGAGTGATTGTAATAGTGTAAATCACAGTAGAAAAGTTTAAGACACTTTGTACAATATTAGTCGATTTCTCCCAATTAACATTAATTTTCTTTCGTTTCTCTTCACCATTTTCACCATTATTTTCTTTACCATTGTTTTCTTTACCATTGTCTTCAAAATCAGAGAATATTTCTACAAAACGTTGTCTCCATTTTTTTACGACATCGCTGGGAGGATTCAATATCCGCGGTGCCTCCTTATAGTCTATAACAGATTTCTTGCTCACTTCGTCCCATTCATAGTACAGCTTGTCCACACATTTCAGACAATACAAGAATAACATCAAGAAAATAATCGGTATGCCCAAAAAACAAATTGAAATGGCGATAATCTGTGAAAAAAAAAAAAGTACAGAAGAAGTTAATATCCATATAAATTCAATTACATCAAGTCTAATTCACTTACTTCGTACGAAGCAACTTCATGCGTGGCCATCTTAAGTTCAGAATTTACATAAGTTTTACTTAAATTTTCCAGTATCTTCCGTCCTATTTCGTAAAATATATTGGCCATGTTTAAACAGAATCGTGTCTCACACTATTTTGCAGAAAATAAGAGCGATAACGATAGACGAGATCGTCATACATTCACATTTATACTCGAGAAGGTAAGCGGTATGCAAATATTACGCTCATCTGTAGATGACGTAACAAAGGATATTGAAAGTACGTAATCTCGTATCGATTTTTAAAATGTTAATGAGATTTTTTTGCGTAAATATTTTATATTAAAGCAACCTTTATGCTTACGTAGTTGATTCAAATTAGCATATTTGGCTGCGTTATGTTCCTCCATTAATTGTCACCTCTGCAGTCTTGTGTATTATAGATGTGACTATTATTCTACTTAAATCTTGGATATCATTGGAAATTAATTAATAAAAATTTAAAAAATAATTTATATGTAAAGTATACTTTAAACTTGTATTTTATTTTTATTACGAACTTTATAGTTATAATAAAAAAATATATATATTTTATTTAAGAAGTATCCTAAATTGTTACTAGATGGCACTACACGTTTTCCTCCCATTATATTCTACAATATGACTTGATAAAGATATAAATGTTACTGCATGCACAGTATAACTTGTAATTCATAGAGTACGTTGCATACTTACGCTATAAATTATATTTATTCTTATTATCATGACATCATTGTTTAATTTATGTATTAAGACATATTCCTGCTAAAACTATCCTATTAAATTTAATTAAGTTAAGCAAACACTATATTAGAAACATCCTTGCATCCCTAATAGTTAGTGATATATATCTACATAATGAATGCTATGGATTTTTTGTAGTGGACCCGCAAATAAAATCCATACAAATTGCTTAACGTTACCAACTATAATAAGGTTCTTTCGTAAATTACGTAAAGGTATTTTTATACTTTTTAACTATCACCCCACCCCTGTGACGCTCCATAAGGCTGTCGCGTGTACCGACCCCAATATTATATAAAGCCTCTTCTTACAATAAGGAATAATTCACACAGAATTGCCAAGAATTCCATTAACTAATACTATATTTTCCCCCCTAAGTTTCCCCCCATCCTGCAGCCACTCCCTTGTAACTCATCGTAACAGTTACCTGCATGCCCACTCACTTATGGAAAGCCCCATATCAACAATACTAATAACTGTTTATTATTGGTGTTTTATTATTACAAGTATGTTATTATTATTATTATAGGTGCGATAATAGTTTCCTTACAAAAGATGGACCACCTGAAAAAATGTACAGTACTTTTAACGTGTTTATATGAGTGTGTACACATTAAAAGTGAATCTCATTAAATGCCATGGCATCTAATTGAAAATGCATGTAAACATGTCTGATGTACTGTACCTATAGAAATGTATTTTTAATGTGTACACATGTATTTATATGGACATTCAATTAAACAGCATGGAGTGAATGCCATCTAATTAATATGCATTTAAATATATGTTAACATATCTGAGATGTGTTATTAATAGCTGCAAACAACGGAAAAGCCGTTTTATTTGTTACACTTAATCCAGAACACTGCAAATCTGGTAATGCTACAAGATAGTATCACATTGCAAGCGTGAAGTCCATCACAGGAGATCAATTATAGTCGTTGAACACGGTGTTTATTGTCTTCAAGTTATACAACTTCAGAATGGGCAGTGTGCCACGCATGGGTTCCTGTCCACGAGGTCTTGTACAAATGTTTGTTGCTTGCAGCGCCAAAAGTGCCACAGAGGCGAGTTTCGGTGCTAATTTCAACTAGTTCAACTTTTTTTTGTGTGTATATTATTTTTTATAAATTAATAGAAAATTCTATATTATCATATTTTTTGCGTATGTTTTAATTTTGATTCCAGCAAATGAGAGAGAAAAAAATAAAATAGGAACAGATAATAGTTATCGTGCAAAAGTCTAATTATTTTTCCTGTTCAATTTTGAAAAGTTTTAGCATGATATCATTTGTATAATGCATTGAACCTTCTTTATTTAGGCTATTTTTCTTTTAAAATTGTTTAAAATTGTTAAATACAGCCGAATTTACTATAACGACCACCTTCCAACAACGACCATTTTTAGGAATTCACTCTTTAATAAAAATGCGTACAAAATAACCTCTAAACAACGTCCATTTTAAAGACATTTTTCATTAAAATGCATACAAAATAACCTCTAAATAACGGCCATTTTCAAAGACATTTTTAACTAAAATGCGTACAAAATAACCTCTAAACAACGGTCATTTTAAAAGACATTTTTCATTAAAATGCATACAAAATAACCTCTAAACAACGGCCATTTTAAAAGACATTTTTAATTAAAATGCGTACAAAATAACCTCTAAACAACGTCAATTTTAAAGACATTTTTCATTAAAATGCATACAAAATAACCTCTAAACAACGGCCATTTTCAAAGACATTTTTAACTAAAATGCGTACAAAATAACCTCTAAACAACGTCCATTTTAAAAGACATTTTTAATTAAAATGCATACAAAATAACCTCTAAACAACGGCCATTTTAACGTTCCGGTCAGTGGTCATTGTTTAGATGTTTGACCTTATTATTTTTATTTTCTCACTAATTTAATATTTCATTTTATTTCTAATTTTTTTTTACAGTATTTAAATTTGTTAATA